TAAACAAATCATTGAAGAAACAATTAGGTTCTTCATCTAACAATTCAAGGTCTATTAAAACTTAATTAAAAACTAGTGAGGAAAACATTTGAGGAAGAGATATTATGTCATATATTATAGCGTGGCAAGCAATAAACTGTAGGTTTAAAGTAAATGCGAACTCTTTTTATCCAAAAACATTTCAATTAGGCATAAAACTAGTCTAAGGTAAAAAAATTAGGACAAATAAAATTGTAAATGCCTTTTTTAAAAAGTTTCCCAGTGGTCACATGACTGCTAAGCAGGCTCCATGTCCTGGGCTCCAACGGATGGTGGAGGAGATACCTAATGAAGGTCAGCAGCTTCTTCTGATGTCACATATCTCAAATCTCGCTGTCACTGAACTGTGCAGGGTGGGCAGGAGGGAACATGTCTTCAGAGATCTTACCCTGGAAGTATACCTGGAAGTACAGACATGCACAGCATCCTGTAGCTCTCAAACAGAAGGTGAGGCTGAGCCATAGGGATACAGGCATGCACAACATCCTATAGGTAATGATGTTTAATGCTTCTCTAGTCATCAAAAGATTGAGTGCATACTTTGGGATAATGGAAATAAATGTAAATTAGGTTCACATACATGTGCAAAAACTGAAACACGCTACATTTAGTTTTCTAAAGCACTGTGTACCATAAAAACTGCCATTTAAAAAAATAATATACTTTTTTTCACCAGAAAATCTCCTGCTGTCTATTTGCAGATCTTTTTGTCTACAAGTGTGCACTCCAGCGATGTCTACTTGGCAGCTCCCAGGGTGGGTTTCCTAATGGTGACATTAGTGAACCATGCCTGCATGTTTTAAGTGGGTCTTTAACAGACACAGGTTATTCCAGTAACCGTTGGTGACCACTTCTATTTTAACTGATATGGTGAAACTTGCCCAATCAGAGTGGAGAGCAGTTGAGGCATTAGGATTTGAAACATTTAGAATCTGACAGATGGGGATCAGGCTAGGAGAAAGAAAGGAACTATTTCAGTAAGGGATTACGTCTGCATCACTATGTAAGCAGAAGACTGGATATCCCTTACCCAGGAAGATCACGATACTTCTGGCTATATGGGCCATGCTCATCGCAGTATTTCTTCACGCAGCACACTCATTTTTTAAAAATAATTTTTACCATTTAGATGTTTTTCAGGAGAAGGACTCTTGGCCAACTGCAAGCATTTCTGGACAATGACAAAGTCAATCTTTCCCTCTTCTCTGATTAGCACATATTTCAAGAAGTCCAGTTTCCAAATCTTTGTTTGTTAGAACAGATAGTGTTCAAATCTAGTTCACAACTGATGATGAGATCTGCCAGCATAGTACAGCTAGAGTTAATATAATCAAACACCAGCCCTCTCATAAACCAAATGATTAGGTAGGAGTTTTTTATTGCTGCTGTTATTAGAATAGAACATTTAAAATGGTAAGAAGCAATATTAAAATATTTATTTTTTTAGTTATGCTGAGAGAACATTTAACAAAGTGTTAAAGTAGGTGTTATGCCAATTTGTCTGCAAGAGTGGAAATACACTTTAAAATGTATGTAAACCCAAAAAGTGTTCAGTATATTTGGCATCTTGCCTTTCTGTATACAATTTTCTTTGGCAAAGCATTTTTGTGAGCCTACTGAAAGTTTCTTACCTGGAGATCTTGCAAATCACAGCACTTCCTGTTGGAGACTGACAATGCTAAGCCTTTGCCTCACAATTGTGTCAACAAGTGTTGTCAGCCAGCCATGTTAGCGCCTTCAACTGGTCATGGTCTGCTTGCCAGATCCATCTGATAGGCATCTCAAAGGCCAACTGAAGTAGCTTACATGGCAGGTTGACAATGATGATACTACCTGTGAGTCAGTGTCTTAACTTTGTCAGACTATAAGAGGAAATGCTGTTGCTGGCAGGATCTCCAGGTAGGAAACTTTGCAACAGATTCATAACAAAACTGTTTGCTTTTTAAAACTGTATATAGAAATCCATGGTGCCTTATATAGGTAGTATAGGATTTTTTTTGCTTTACTTGGATAAAATGTACTTAGCCTAAGCAATAAATAAATAAACATCCACCTCATCTATGAACTAATAAACTGCAATATACAGGTGAAACTCGAAAAATAGAATATCGTGCAAAAGTTCATTTATTTCTGTAATGCAACTTAAAAGGTGAAACTAATATATGAGATAGACTCATTACATGCAAAGCAAGATCGTTCAAGCCGTGATTTGTCATAATTGTGATGATTATGGCTTACAGCTCATGAAAACCCCAAATCCACAATCTCAGAAAATTAGAATATTGTGAAAAGCTGCAATATTCTAGGCTCAAAGTGTCCCACTCTAATCAGCTAATTAAGACATAACACCTGCAAAGGTGTTTAAATGAGTCTTTAAATGGTCTCTCAGTCTGGTTCAGTAGGAATCACAATCATGGGAAAGACTGCTGACCCGACAGTTGTGCAGAAAGCCATCATTGACACCCTCCATAAGGAGGGAAAGCCTCAAAAGGTAAATGCAAAAGAAGCTGGATGTTCCCAAAGTGCTTTATCAAAGCACATTAATAGAAAGTTATGTGGAAGGGAAAAGTGCGGAAGAAAAATGTGCGCAAGCAGCAGGGATGACCGCAGCCTGGAGAGGATTGTCAGGAAAAGGCCATTCAAAAGTGTTAGGGACTTTCACAAGGAGTGGACTGGGGCTGGAGTCAGTGCAACAAGAGCCACCACACACAGACGGATCCTGGACATGGGCTTCAAATGTCGTATTCAGGGGCAGACTGACCATTTGGAAACTAAAGCACTGCCCGAGGGCCCGGGGTCAGTAGGGGGCCCCATGAGATGCCCCTGATACCTTTTTCATAGGCTTTTTTGAGTTTGGGCAAGGACACAGGGGCCCCATGATCCCCTATTGTCAGAGGGCCCCATGAGTTGCCAGTCCGCCCCTGGTCGTATTCCACTTGTCAAGCCGCTCCTGAACAACAAACAACGTCAGAAGCGTCTTACCTAGGCTAAAGAAAAACTGACCTGGTGTGTTGCTCAGTGGACCAAAGTCCTCTTTTCTGATGAGAGCAACTTTTGCATCTTATTTGGAATCCAAGGACCCAGAGTATGGAGGAAGAATGGAGAGGCACACACTGCAAGATGCTTGAAGTCCAGTGTGAAGTTTTCCACAGTCTGTGTTGATTGGGGGAGCCATGTTACCTGCTGGTGTTGGTCCACTGTGCTTCATTAAGTCCAGGGTCAATGCAGCCGTCTACCAGGAGATTTTGGAGCACTTCATGCTTCCTTCCGCAGACGAGCTTTATGGGGATGCTGACTTCATTTTCCAGCAGGACTTGGCACCTGCCCACACTGCCAAAAGCACCAAAACCTGGTTCAATGACCGTGGGATTACTGTGCTTGATTTTGCCAGCAAACTCGCCTGACCTGAACCCCATAGAGAATCTATGGGGCATTTCCAAGAGAAAGATGAGAGGCATGAGACCAAACAATGCAGAAGTGATGAAGGCTGCTATTGAAGCATCCTGGTCTTCCATAACACCTCAGCAGTGCTACAGGCTGATAGCTTCCATGCCACGCCGCATTGAGGCAGTAATTGCTGCAAAAGGGGCCCAAACCAAGTACTGAGTACATACATGCTTATACTTTTCAGAGGTCCGATATTGTTCTATGTACAATCCTTGTTTTATTGATTGCATGTAATATTCTAATTTTCTGAGATTGTGGATTTGGGGTTTTCGTGAGCTGTAAGCCATAATCATCACAATTATGACAAATCACAGTTTGAACTATCTTGCTTTGCATGTAATGAGTCTATCTCATATTAGTTTCACCTTTTAAGTTGCATTACTGAAATAAATGAACTTTTGCACGATATTCTAATTTTTCGAGTTTCATCTGTATATATATATATATATATATATATATATATATATATATATATATATATATATACACACACACAATTTTTTGTTTAGATATAAATTAATGTTTTTCTATTTATAATATAGCTTTTTTTTTACTTGTAGACTGGAGAAAATCTAAAGTGTAAGCATTCTAATAAGAATAACACTTCTTATTCATACAGCTTTATAGATATGATAACCATTATCCTGTAAATGTAAAATGTAAATGTCATATATTATATAGAACTGCTTTGTTATTAGGATTATTTTTCATTTTTATTTTTTGCTCCTTCTTCTAAAACCATTGTTCTTATAATGATGTGAAGAGGTTGAGGCAACATGCAGAGCTTTATCCTTGACGTTTCCCAGAAATCCCTTGGCTTCCTTTGAGTACATTTGGCTCTTGTTTATAACAAATGGCAAAGGCAATCTGTAATGAGATATCTTTTAGCATGGCAGTGTTAGCTTCTTAACCAGCATTCTGCTTTAGAATCTGAAATCAAATATGTGTAATGTTAGCACATGGAACTTCAGCTTTTTGCTTGTATTCTAATGGAAATTATCAATGCTTTTTGCATAGATCATATGTGTCCCCTAACCAGATATATGCAGTCTTTAGCCACTTGCCTACAGGGCACTTATACCCCCTTCCTGCCCAGGCCAATTTTCAGCTTTCAGTGCTGTCACACTTTGAATGAGAATTGCGTGGTCATGCAACACTGTACCCATATGAAATTTTTATCATTTTTTTGTGACAGATAGAGATTTTTTTTGGTGGTATTTAATCACCTCTGGGTTTTTTATTTTTTCCTCAACAAACCAAAAACAACTGAAAATTTTTTAAGTTTTTTTCTTAGTTTTTGTTATAAAATTTTGTAAATAAGTGATTTTTCTCCTTCACTGATTTGCGCTAATGATGCTGCAGTGATGGGCACTGATAGGCTGCACTGATGGGCGCTGATAGGTGGCACGGATGGGCACTGATGAGGAGGCACTGGTAGGTGGCACTGATGGGCATTGACAGGTATCACTGATGGGCACTGAAAGGCAGCACTCATATATGGCACTGATAGGCAGCACTGACAGGTGGCACTGATAGGTGGCACTAACTGGCACTGATAGGCGGCACTGACTGGCACTGTTAGGTGGCACTGGCTGGCACTTTTAGGCTGCACTGATAGGCAGCACTGACGGGCACTGATAGGCGGCACTGATGCACACTGACAGGCGACACTGACTGGCACTGATAGGTGGCACTGATTGGCAGCACTGATAGGTGGCACTTACTGGCATTGAAAGGTGGCACTGATAGGTGACACTGAAAGGCAGCTCAGATGGGCACTGATATGTGGCATTGATGTGCACTGGTAGGCACTGATAACTGGCCTTGATGTGGTACTGATGGGCACTGGCAGGTGGCATTGATGAGCCGATAACCGGCATTTCCCTATTTACATGCGATCAGCTGTAATTGGACACAGCTGATCACATAACCGAGCCAACATCTTCGGCTCATCTGTTGATCGGGAATCCGTTTTGTCCGAGGGACACAGTGCAGCACCGATCGCCACGCTGCGCGCCCCAGAGCCGCGCATATGTGGTTAGACTGGGAGGACGTCATATGACGTCCTCCCAGAATGAGAGAGGCGCCTTGCACCTGTCATTACCTTATATGGCGGGCGGGAGGCAGTTAAAGAAGAAGTCTCAATAGGAACATTTTCTGTTCCTTCTGTCCCCAGGGAACAAAGTGCATGTAGCACTACGACTCATTCACAGGTGTCAAACTGCGGCCCTCCAGCTGTTGAGAAACTACAAATCCCATCATGTCTTTGCCTTTGGGAGTCATGCTTTCAACTGTCAGTCCTGCAATGCCTCATGGGATTTGTAGTTCAGCAACAGCTGGAGGGCCACAGTTTGACACCCCTGCCGGGTGAGATAGCACGGTTAACAGCACTCCCCTGTGCTGTTCGGCCATGCTGCTCAGAAATGGACAATAACTAATAAGGTCTGATTAATAATGTTCATCTCTGGTGGTGCAGATGCACTGAAAAAGTCAGCATGACTTTTTCTAACTTGAAATTCACTGCACTGGTCTACTCCCGGCAGCAACAGCGCACATCCAGCCCTGCTTATGCTGGCCCAGCCTCTTGCTCTTTGTTCAAGTGCCCAATACAGTGTACCTGTGGTTACTAAAAAGACAGGAGCACAGCAGATGGGGATGAAGTCAAAGCTCTCTCTCGAAAAGAGAGAGAGAAAAAGAGAGAGAGATAAATCATAGTCAAAACTAAAGCACAGCAACAGGACACCCCATCAGAGACAGAGTTTATAAGTTTTAGATCTCAATGGTCAATGGTTTCACTTACTTTTATTTACTTAAATAGTAAACAGCAAAACAAAAACTGTTCTCATGTGATCATTGACTAATTGCCTCTAACTTTAGGCATGCCTAACATTTTGAATCCAGAGGATTGCCTAACTTTATTGGCAGCTATGGGCGGGTCTGCTGACAGAGGCCACAGGGCCCTATACAGCCAACCTGGCAGCCCCCCCCCTCCCCCCAAAAGAAAGTTTACTATACTTCAGTTATGAGTGAACACAGTGAGGGATCAGTACCAATCAGCTACTGTGTTCATTCAGAAAAGGCAGGGAACCAACCCCCTGTTTGGCTCTCTCTACAGCAGCTGAAAGCCAGTGGGAGGGAGAAGAGAAGAAGCCAGCTTTCAGCTGCTGCAGAAAGAGCCATATAGGGGTTCAGTTCCAGTAATTTTCCCCCACACTGTGCTGATCACTCTCCCTGCCCACATCCGATTCACCTAGCTGCTTGGGTCCCCCTTTATTTTATTGGGTTTTTTTTTTTATAAATTTGAAGTAAAAGAAAAAAAAAAGAAAAGAGAAAATTGAAAAGACTGCAAAAAGGAAGCTAACAAGGGAAAGCTCGGCAACAGCAACTGAAGTTGTTGCATATACATAGTAGAGTAATTGGTTCAGCCCATAGTAACATCAATTGACTTGGTTTATTCTTTAGCATGTGGAATAATTGGGGAGAGGCTTCAGGTTGAAATTTCTCTCTAAATTTTGAGATACATTCACATACATTTATACAGAAGCATAACATATAGATATGTTACACAGCCCTATGTTATGGAGCTCAGCACAGGCATGTGCACAGGGTGAGCTGGGTGTGCCTGGGCATACTCTAATCACCCCATGTGCATTAGCATTATCCAGGGATTTTGTTCAGGTGGCATTTGCAGGACACAATGAGGGAGCAGAACCTTTTACAGCAGATTTGTGGTGGGCTTTGGCTGCGGAGTGAGCAGGCTGCCACATAATCCAAAATAGCTCCTGTAGTGCCAGCTGCAGCCCTGAGAGAGTGGAAGGTGGAGTGATATTTGATGTATTCTGCCTAACCCTGTACCAGACTGGATCCTCCTCTGTTTTGGGACCGGAGCTGCACTGCGGTGTTATTTCCTAGCCTGTCCTCACTGTCTTGTTGAATACATTGCTTTTGGTAATATAACTGTTAATGTTGCTGGATGGGGGCTGTCTATTGTTGCTGCCTGGATATGGGGCTATCTCTTGCTGGATATGGTGTCTATCTCTTGTTGGATAGGGGGGATGTCTTTGTTGCATATGGAGTTGTCCCTTGCTGGATATGGGGGCTGTCTCTTGCCGGATATGGAGGGTGTCTGTTGCTGGATATGGGGTTGTCTCTTGCTGGGTATGGCACTGTCTCATCCTGCATATAGAGATGTCTCTTGCTCATAGGCATGCACACCCTAATCACCCCCATGTGCATTAGAATATTGCTCTATGTGCCAGTGGGGAGATAGGATAGCTCTCCTTCTGACCGGCCCTACCATAAGGAAAGTGCTTCCACACTTCTCTTCCACTGTTCTGGGGGGGGGGGGATTAAAAAGATCTCCCACTCACCAGCTCTGCCATAAAATAAGCATTTCTGCACTTCTCTTTCACGGTGCCGGTGGGAAGATCAATGTGTCTGCGGAGAGATGGGAAAGATTTATCATTGACTGGCACTGCCATAAAAGAAAGGTTTCCACACTTCTTTTCACTATTCTGGCTGGGAGATGTTAAAAAGTCCCCCATGCTCGCTTGCAAAGACGAACTCACATGATGGTCCTACATACTTTCATAAACGATGAGCGCCAGAGTGAGAACAATAATTCTAGCACCAGACCTCCTGTGTAGCTCTCCATTGGTAACCTGTAAAGGCTTTATAAAACATTGCCTATGGAGATTTTTAAATATCGTAGTTTGGCGCCATTCTGCGAATGTGTGTAATTTAAAAGCATGACATGTTAGGTATGTATTTACTTGGGATAGCATCGTCTTTTATATTTTTACCAAAAATTGGGTATTATATTTTGTTTGTGTTTCTGTGCATTCAAACTCAATAAAGTTTTTTTTTTCCCAAAAAGTTTGCATTTGAAAAACTGCTGTGCAAATACCAAGTGACATTAAAAAAAAATGCAAAACTCACCATTATACTCTCTACGGTCTCTGCTAAAGAAAATATATATAATTTTTGGAGGTTTTAAGTAATTTTTTAGCAAAAAAGCAGATTGTTTTACATGTAAACAAAAAGTGCCAGAAAAGTCCTGGTCTTAAAGTATGTATATACAGTATAAATAAATAAATATATATATATATATATATATATATATATACTGTATATACAGTATCTACTCACACACATATGTCTGTTTGAGCTCTGGGGTGCACACCATCATGCCTCTAGTCTCTTATGGTAAAGAAACTACTGTATACAGAAAATGATGATCCTCCGTTGACCAAAATCTCTTCCCTAGAACTTAATATAGAAACTTACATAAAATGGTTATGAAAGGCCTTACACATATATGTCTTAGTATAGAGATACAAAGAGAGGCCTCACCTTTCAGAAATACATTTATAAGGTTAATATGGCTATCTTTAGGAGTTAAAATAAGTATTTTCCTGGTTACAACCAATGTCAGATGTAGTACAATTCAATATAGGCTCTTTAGATTAGTTGCAGCCAGTGTCAAAAGCATAACAAAAGTTGCTAAAAATTCTTCCTCAATACACTGTTTAAAAAAGGGCATTCAAATAACACATTTCAGAAACTGTAATTTATCTTTAAATTAAGTAACGTCTCTGACTATTCTTTTGTTTTCACAATAAAATTAAAAAGACATAAACACAATAAGCAATACTACAAATAACCATCAAATAAAGTGTGTCAGATATCGTACATCAGTACTGTTCAAGGTATCAAATTAAACTACTTCATCTCAACTATAAACATGTAATTATCATATTATTTCTTGATCTTAGTCACTTTTTCATCCAAATGGCTGCAAAGACCTTTCTTCAGCATTATCATTTTTTTTTCTCACAAAAGAAATAATATTATTGAAAAAGAACAAAAACAATGAGTACAAAAAGATAATGGGGGCCCGAAGGGCCTGAACATCAAATACAATCGTGAAAACGCACAAAACACTTCTATAGAAAAGTGTTCCCAAAAGGAATAATCAGTACAGCCTCTCAGGGGTAGCTGTAGGATGGGTATGAAGTGGCCCAATCAAAGTAGATTAGACATGGTACCAGTAAATAATCACCTAGGTATCACTAAGATCCCTGTGGGAGGGAGAAAAGATAAGAGGAGGAGGGTGAGTTGAGTTGAAAGGTTAGTGTCATGTAATGAGTCTCGAACCTGGTGCAATAAGGACCTAGTTGATAGAGAACAGGGCTCTATGTAAGCAAGAAGCCAAGCTGAGGTTAAGTTAAATATTTGGCAAGGTGTATAATTAAGGTAGGCATCAAGGGTTAATTACCAGCAGAATGCTCAGGTGCAGTCAGGTGGTGTACAGGAGGAATATCAGCAAAAGAGGTTGGAGAAGTAAGCACTGGAGACAGAAGCATCGGAGCATACACAGAAAATAAGGTATAAACAGAAGAGAGAGGGAACCCATGGAAAATGGGGGGAGGGTGAAAGGGAGAAAATAAGAGAAAAATAGGGGGGGGTGGAGAAGGGGTGGATAGTGAGGGAATGGGGGGTTGTGGAGGAAGGGAAGTGGGGGAAGAAGAGGTGGGCAGTAGGGGGGGGGTGGGGATGGGGAAATATGGGGTAGGCCAAGATGCGGCTATAGAACATATGAGGCAGGGAATGTGGTGGGTGGAAATAGAGAGAGAGAGGGTGAGGGGAACTGGAGACCATGGTTGCCCCATATTCTATTTTTGCTTCCTTAAAGCTGAACTTTACCTATAGCAACTTGATAGAAAATAATGTTCTTAAGCAAGGAATATATATTCCACATTAATAATTATGCTAACAAAATTATTGTGCTGTAAATTTCCT